CATTTAGCCAGCATTAGGGCTCCAACCCTGAACTGAGCATTTTTTCTGTTAGCCAGCATTAGGGCTCCGACCCTGAACTGAGCATTTTTCTGTTAGCCAACATTAGGGCTCCAACCCTGAACTGAGCGTTTATATTCTGTAGCCAGCATTAGGGCTCCAACCTGAACTGAGCATTTTTCTATTAGCCAGCATTAGGGCTCCAACCCTGAACTGAGCATTTTTCTATTAGCCAGCATTAGGGCTCCAACCCTGAACTGGGCATTTTTCTGTTAGCCAGCACTAGGGCTCCAACCCTGAACTGAGCATTTTTCATTCAGCCAGCATTAGGGCTCCAACCCTGAACTGAGCATTGTTTCTGTTAGCCAGCATTGGGGCTCCAACCCTGAACTGAGTATTTTTCTGTTAGCCAGCATTGGGGCTCCAACCCTGAACTGAGTATTTTTCTGTTAGCCAGCATGAGGGCTCCGACCCTGAACTGAGTATTTTTCTGTTAGCCAGCATTAGGGCTCCACCCCTGAACTGAGCGTTTATTTTCTGTCAGCCAGCATTAGGGCTCCAATCCCCGAGTTGAGCACTTTTCCATTCAGCCAGCATCAGGGCTCCAATCCCTGAACTGAGCGTTTTACCTTATGGCGACATTAGGACTCCAATCCCTGAGTTGCGTTTTGTAGACTAAAGTTTTCCAATCCCCTCATCAATTCTGTAAGTTGTTATGACGATTAATTCACGAAATTTTCCTAGTGAAACTAGGGCAGAAAAATTTCGTTCGTTTGTTTTGTTTATCTCAGCAGGTCTGACCTCGAGGCACATGGATCGAGACGACCTACGGGATGAGTCTCAATCCAGAATAAAGAAAAGAAGAAAAGGACAAAAAGAAGATGTTCCGAGATATTGGAACAAACAAAAGGCGGATCGCTCAAATTTGATCAAATTCTCGAGCTCCGCCAATCTCGTTTCACTCAATACTGCAGAAATAAACAAGCACCTACAACTTGCAAGCATCAAGATTCGGATCGAATTTTACAAGCAGAATCAGCTAAGACCCAAGATCAAGTGGCAAAAGAATTATAGATAGGAATCTTATAACTAGCGGTTGACAGACATAAATAGTTAGTTCAGTTTCAATTTCCTTTGGTTGTAATAAGGCGGTCGGTAAGCAGTAGTGGCAACAACAACAACATTAACGGCAAGCATTGCAATCCCATGGTAGTCCCAGCTACCAAAAGTTTTCCGAACTACATTAACCTGATTCCTGTTTAGCCCAGGATATGTAGGAAATCTTCGAAGCAAAGGTTCGGTCAAATCTTTCAAATGTGCTTCACACGGAGTATTCCAATAGGCAAAAATCGCTCATATCCGCTCACTTTATCTTTGCACGAAAACTCTTCGTGTTTTCGGACAAAGAGGGGCAGCTGTGAGCACGTGATTTTTGTTTACGCGACAATCACTCCAAAAGAAATCAAAAATAATAACAAATGGTCTTGCTGTACAATTTTTGGAGTTTACGTGGCATTTTTGGTAGTTATTTATGGTCTTGTCCATTTTTATTTTTTGTCACCATAATTCGGTTATTAAAAGGAAAATCACAAAAAATGCATCTTTTATTCTATTTGTTGCCATGGTGTGATTTTACCTATTTAAATATTTTAATATGTATGTGATAATTGTGTTAAATGTTAATTAATGAGTGTTTAATTTTACTTTAATTAGGTATTGTATTTTAAATTAGAAAATAAAAGAAAAGAGTGTAAATTGGTTCAAATATCGGATTGGGCCAGTTTTCTTTAAAATCGAGGCCCAAAAGCAGCCCAAGGCAACCGGTCCAAGAGACCCATCTCCCAGGCCACCAAACGACGTAGTTTGACACCAAAACTACGTCGTTTCAAGGACAACCCATCTCAGCCGTTCAAACCAGATTGATCTGACGGCCCTCGTCCCATCTCCCTTACCCATTACTTGACCCGATCCATTCCACCCAAAGACCAACCCGGTCTCACTTAACCAAACAATGTCATTTCCTGTAAGTGAGAGATCCAGGCCGTTGATCTCGACTGATCTAACGGCCAAGATCAAAACACCCCC